GGAGCGCCGACCTGAAAGACTGAAATGTATTAACCATTTCCTCTCTCATTGAGTCCAAAAGCCCCTTAAACATTCCGGCTGACTCTTTTGCAACTATTTTCTCTAAACACACTTTGCACAAGGGTTTGGACCATCAAGCTGACATTTTTGCAAAGCAAGAGGCACACTTCTTCCCTTTTGTGCACGAGCAACCTGCTTCAGCGAGGGGCTTATCCTCCGTGGCTTTGACCTGCGTACGACAAGCCATCAGCCAGTGCTCTGCCCGCATGCAAACCATCATATACATAACACTACCCAGCTTGCCCTGTGAACAGGCCCCCAATGCAAGCGGGTAAAGGAAAGGGGAGAATCTCCAAAGAAAACTCGCCTACCTTAGCGCCCGTGCCATGCTCTCCCAGATCTGGAGTAGCTGCACCCGGTCCGGCATCTATGGGCATCTTGCCGCTTACTGCCGACCACGCTAACGGCCCTCTCCTGACGTCCCCACCGGCCTTATGTGGTCTAGGTCGGTATGGATGGTGTACAGCTGAAGTAGTCGTGGCCGAGCGGCGTCTGCTGTGACCATGTGGGAACCGAGCCTCCGCTCTTATGCGTCTCCAGCGCGAGGCAGCCTCTGAAACCCGGAAGTGTCGCACCGGAAGCGCATCATCGCTCTGACCACGCGGCGCGTATTCCCAGGCGGCGACGGCGCCCTACAGTGACGTCACCCGCCGGATTCCCAGCCAGGACGTAGCCCATGCTCCCACCACAGACACCAGCAAGAGGCGAAGAGACACCGCAGCCCCCCGCGCGAGGCCCACACCTCCACGCTGCCGCAGACTGACCCTGCTCTCCATACCATAAGGTAAGAGCCCCCTACTGCCAAGGTAGCCGGGACCCCTGGACTCCTCCAGCCTCCCTGTACCTCTCCTATGCTACCCCCGTCGTTGCCAGACCAATGTCCACCTGGGCTCAGCATTCCTACAGCACACCTTGCCACTGCTGTACACCAGGGGGGGGCCACCATCTGGCGCCAACTCACGTGCAGGAGGATGGTTGCCTTCCCTGAGTGATGGAAGGGAACCTTGGCCCAGAATCGGATGGGGGTCTGATAGGGAAGCCCTGCATGCGCTGCAGCACGTAATCCTGGAGTAGGTCCCAACGCATAGCAGGGTAGGCTCAGCCCTAAGGCAAACAAACATGAGCCCTGAAAACAACAAACATTACGATGTCCCTGTGTAACACACAAAAAAAGACTTGGGATGGAAGGAGGAGTCTATTTATTTAATGTGGTTGATGTGTTTCCTGTTGCAGGCAGGCGGAGCCTATATCTCGATGGCTGTCCTGGAAGATGACTGGGGAAAAAGACATCCATTTGAAGAGCAGCAAAGAGAAGAACTGAGGCATGCTCGTAGGAGAAGGGGCTATTCCAGGACAGGCCTACAGTTTGTTTGCCAGTGTCCAAATCCTCCTGTAGGTGGCAGTATATCCTGAAGGTTTCAGGCTTCAAGTCCCTCAATTAACAAGAAACCAGGTTTATAAAGCATTAACACACTGGTATGTACACACATTACGTTGATCACAGTCACACATATACATATATAAAAATAAAACTGATCAAAAAATAAAATGCAATGTTTTCCAGCTGCTGTGCAGGCCCAGCACTAGGTCCTGGGATTCTCTGTGACCTCTTGGCCTTATTTCTGCTGGCTAAACAGCTTAGAGATCACAGGCTTTCTACACCTCCCTCTTAGTATATCAGTGTGCTCCTTTATATGCAAAGAGTCTCCACATCAATGCACAGAGAAATGTGCCCCCCAGTCCTGCCTTCTTATCTGAAAAACCGCTGTATTTAATTAAACAATTAATAAAAGAAGAGACAGAAGATTAGGGTAGGGTAGAACCAGCCTATTACACACCCAGCTCCTGGTACAGAATGAAAGAAGTTTATACTTCTTGTAAGAGAATGATCCCATCACTTCACCCAGGTGGTATCGTAGACAACATCACTTCCCACTAATGCTAAGCAACTAAATGGAATAAACAAACTGTGCAAGATGGCATACGGAAAATATAAAACATAGATAACGCAAACACTAACACAAATTTGCTTGCACTATTTTAATTTGCAATTAGAGCTGCAACAGTTAATCGATGAAGTCGATTAAAATCGCCGATGGAAAGCGTTGTCAACGTTTGCCATCGTCGATTAGTCGGCTATCGAAAGGTTTGCTTGTTCGGGGCGCCACACATGACCCATCGTGTCACGCCCGCCGGATACAACGCAGAAGCCACACGCAGCGCACACGCCGCTGCTCCTCTCAGTGAGCTCCCTCACTCACTGCACTCTTGGTGTGACTGGGCCCTCCCAGCCGTGTGACACGTCTCCCCACCGCGCCACACGACACGACTCCTCCCCGCCATAAGGACTCGCCGCTTCTCCTCCCTGCAAGCCGCATTGCCCCGCCTCACAGACTCGCTGCGGGCCGCCCATTCACGATCGGCACAATGAAGAAAGAGCAGGCATATGGGGTAAGGTAGCTGCCAGACAGGCCCACAATCTGCTTGGGTAAGCCTGCATTCTACCCCCCCACATGGTGCTGTATTAATGTATTGCTGGTGTAGTGGGATTTGTAGTCCTCTATAGCTGATGGTACATTGTGCTGTATATGTACCATCGGCTATAGAGGACTACAAATCCCAGCAATACATTATACACTGTATGTATAATGTACTATTGCTGGCATTTGTTGTATTCCTATATAGCTGCTGGTATTAAGCATTGCGCTGTATAACCATTATACATCGCAATGCAGTATACCGCCCGCAATATAGGAATACAAATCCCAGCAATAGTATATTATACAGCGCAAAGCAGAACACCACCAGCTACAGAGGACTACAAATCCCAGCAATAATACATTAAAGTATAATGTACTATTGCTGCAATTTGCTGTATTCCTCTATAGCTGCTGGTATTCTGCATTGCGCCGTATAATCATTATACAGCACACTGCAGAACACCACCAGTTAGGAGGACTACAAATCCCAGCAATAGTACATTATACAGCGCAACTCAGAACACCACCAGCTATAGAGAAATACAACAAATCCCAGCAATAGTACATTATAATATAATTTACTATTGCTGCGATTTGCTGTATTCCTCTATAGCTGCTGGTATTCTGCATTGCACCATATAATCATTATACGCTGCAGAATACCACCAGCTATAGAGGAATACAAATCCCAGCAATAGTACATTATACAGCACACTGCAGAATATCACCAGCTAGAGGACTACAAATCCCAGCAATAGAACATTATACAGCGCAACGCAGGATAAAACCAGCTACAGAGGACTACAAATCCCAGCAATAGAACATTATAGTATAATGTACTATTGCTGCGATTTGTTGTATTCCTCTATAGCTGCTGGTATTCTGCACTGCGTCGCTGTATAATGTACTATATTGCACACCACACTTTTTTTTATTTCCACCGCTCCAAGCTTGCTCCCATGATGGACTACAATCTCAGTACAAACTAGTAGTCCATCACTGGAGCCATTTTTTTTATCCGATTAATCGAACTTAATAAATCGGTTAACTAATCGATTATGAAAATAATAGTTAGCTGCAGCTCTATTTGCAATTGCAAAGTGTTCGCATAAAAAAAACAAAAACGTCATAGTTCTGCTTTTTAACTTTGACTACTACTCTATGCACACAGAATTAGATGAAAATAAAATAGAAAATATTAAGAAAACCCCAAAAGCCGTATATATACACAGTATTTAATTTTATTTCAGTTCAGTGCCTTTATAAAATAAATAAACCATGGTGAGGGGAGGGGAACACAGGCATGGGGACAGCATGGTAACAAATCATTCAGCACTGTAGACTTATAAAGCTTTTGGTTATATACATAGACAACAACAAGTATATACAAAACTGCAGCAAGAAGAGAAAAGCATGGAAGGGCATTATGGGCATTTAAACAGACTTCTGAAACCGGTCAATGAAGAGTCAACCGTTCTACATCTGGACAACATAATATAAAAAAAAAAAAAAACAAAAAAACAAAATGATCTTGCGTCAGGCTAAAAAGACCTGCAGTGCAGAACTACAAATAACAGCATAAAGTAGCACACAAGGATTGGAAAATAGCAGGCATGCCAGGGAACTTTTGAGATCGCCCTAAACTTCCCAAACCTGACAATTGTGTGCGGTCACTTGTAGTTCCACAACAGCTAGCGCACTACAAGACACCTAAACCTGCTTTAGAGTACTTAAGAACATCTTCAGTACTAGCCTCTAAATTCAAGTAATACTTCAAAACGTAAAACTTGTGCAAACCAAAAAAAAAAAAAGAAAATAATACTCTCAAAAAATATATTATTTAAATATTTAATGTGTCATGTTTAATTTAAACTGTAACATAAATTCACATTATGTTTAGTGAAGTCATATGGGGAAGAGAGAGAGAAACAAATGTCCAAAGTGCATTCCATCTTAAAATAAAAATAGCGTTTAGTGTTTTTGGGGTTTATTGTTGAAGCAGAAAGCTGTAACAAATGGACCTGTTTGTAGCAGGTAAAAACAAGCCTTCGGAATTTGAGAAACATAACAGTTATCTTGATTGCGAAGATACTTCGTTTTTGTTTTCTTGGAGAGAAAGCAAAGAAAAATATTTCCTTCAAATAATAAATAACCCCCCTCAAAAAAAAAAATATAAATATATATTGTCAAGGTAAGCACACGAGCTTCTCTGAAGTGTGCTTTTTGCAGAGTACACAGCAACAAATATTATTATTACAATTTTAACACATCATAAAACCATTAAAAAAGACTGTGTTGTTCTTTAAGTGCACCGTTATATCAGATATAGACAGCAGTACCGTGCTCAGTGTGGAATCTACCTACTTTCTATACCTTACACTTTTAGGGATGAATATGTCAGAGCAAAATATTCCTTGGGAAAAAAAAAAAAATATTGTACCGCTATATTAAAAAAAACTATGAATTTTCAAGCATCAAATCCGTCAAAGGTATTCATTGTATGTGTTGACGGGCAGCTGCATACAATTCTAACACGTCAGTCATTCTCGTAGATCCATAGTCGGCAGCGAAGAGGGCAGCAGGTGATACAACTTACTTGCAGACACTTTGATTCTGAGTTCTGGTGATTTTCAGAGATAGGCTAGCATAATCAGAAAAGGCGGCCATGTTGCCAAGATGTCAGCAGCTATTGAGGATCACTGCTTGTTTAAGTGATAGAGAACATATCAAGATGCTTAGGAACTTGAAATAGTGGAGGTTCCTATCCAGCACTGGGAACTCTCACTGCCTGGCAGTGTGCGTGTGTGTGTGTGTGTGTGTGTGTGTGTGTGTGTGTGTGTGTGTGTGTGTCTGTGAAGCTGCAGCGGTGGGTTGTGACTCAGAACTAGCACCACTTCTGGGAGTCAGTCAATGACAGCCTCCAGGGCTGGCTGGGAGTCTTACTTTGATGGTACAGGCCATCCTCACAGTCACCTTTTAAATTCAGGAAAATTATTTGCAACATGCTCCTTAAATTTCCATGGAGAGAGAGAAAACCAGATTACAATATTACAGTAGAACATAGTAGGCAAACAGGTATGGAAAATTGCATCTCCTTTATCTCAATTTGCTTCAGGGAAGGCGAAATTTGAACCAGGATGTACACGAAACTGCAACAGGAACGGTACTTTGTACTTTTTTGTATTTGTTTTACCGTTTAAAATCTTGTTAAAATTCCATTTGGTGAGAAAAAAAGAAAGAAGAAAACATTCAAAGTGCTGCAGAATTTGTATCCGCTGAAGGCATAAACATGGTCTCTAAAGCCAGGGTGGTCAGTTACCTCTTGTCAGCGAAGCATTACTTGCACAGGGGAGTCTTCTTTGGCAGCGCGGGTCGTTTGGCTTGCCACAAGTGGTTATGGATAGTCAGTGCATCGACGCTCACAGACATGGTTTTGGCGGGGATGACGGTAAACTGTTTCCTGTCCGAGCTGTACTTGTATAGTTTGTCGATCATTTTCTTGTTGATGTTCTTTGGGCCTGTTCCAGTCAGCTTGCAGATTTCCTCAGAGTCGGGGTAATAGGAATAAAGTGCTCGAAATTGGCATCCGGCATCACGGAACAGGATGATGTAGTGGTTGGAGTCAGACTTTTCTAGCTCCTGCATTTCGTAAGAGAAACCAACAGAGTACATGAATGCGAAACCAATAGAGGAAACATACAATTATTTAAATGTAACGCCAACTAATGCACCACCGAAACACATAGGGGTGTATTTATAAACAATTCGCACAGCCATTTGTCCTGAGAAACTATGTCAATGATTGTTTTGTGCGAATGGAGGCAAAAAAGTGAATGTTCTCAGTACAGGGGTGCGGAATTCCTATCGCCCCAACACATGGGACATGCAGTTCAAGGCCCCGGGCGTCTTTCGTTCTACATTAAGTCCTGCTTCGGGCAAGCAGCAGGGCTAAATGTAGAGTGGGAGCCGTTTTGTACAAATGATCTCGAGCAGCTGTACAGCCGCTCAAGATCACCTGAAAGCTGCCCGATTGTCACTACCCCCTCCCCTCTCGCTGCATCTGCCCCTTCTCACTGTCTTGGTCAACTCCCGCCGGCTCTCTCCCCACCCACTGGCTCCATCCCCACCGTGGTCTTCAGGGTCCTCCGCTCATTGGCAAATTAGATCAGGATGGAGAGCGTGGAACAGAGCAGGGAATTCTATGCTCCGTGTAAACAGTATGAGGGGAGAGCTGCACTCGCAGCCTTCCCATCTCAGCTGTCACAGGAGTTCCAGCACAGTGCTGTGCTAGAACTCCTGTACTGGAGGTGAAAGTGGAAAAAAAGTAGGACAAAATAAAAATAAAAAAAGTTAAAACAAATAATTAAAAAAGTAAATAGAAAAACAAAAAAGTGATAAAAGTTATAGAATTTTTTTTTTAAAGTACAAAAATAAAGAAAATAAAAAAGCAATAAAGTAAAAAAAGTAAACAAAATTAAGTAAAACATAATACACTCATTTTTTTTTAAATAGCACAAAAAATTAAGTAAATTAACATTTTACAAAATTAAAACCAACCCCACTGCACCCGCCATCTGCATCCGAATAAACACACGCATATGGCATTGTGTGTGTACGCTGAGTGCAGCCCTCATTTCACTGTGTGCATATTGTGGTAGCCAGACAGCAGCGCTCTAACACGCACAATGCACATTAAAGGGCAAGTTCACTTTACCAAGTAATTTGAGAAATGGAATTTCCCGCTCAAATTTGGCCAACTTTCCCCCCTGCTATACGTACCTTTCGTCGAGCAGTCCTTTGCCGGTATAGCTCCGCGGGTATAGCTCCGCCGGTATAGTTGTACTATCTGTACCCCATACTGCCATCCAGTGCTGCCCTATGCCATGTATTCTGAATTGTATTTGCAAATCAGCACTGTTAAATACAGTTTTGGTTAAGAATATTTTTTGTATCACGACATGTACATACGTACTTGTCGTGAGGAACAAGTAGGTTGTCGTGAGGGACAGATAAATAATGTTCACTAGCACACTCATCATGCCCACACTGAGATCTTTGCCATGGTCAAGCCCACATAAAACTTTCCCTTCCCACAGGTGACAGAGTAGCCACAGAAAGCCTGATTTTAACATACAGCTGGTGCATAGCAACTAAAATATAAAAGATAGAATTCAATTGAACAATAATTTATTAAAATGTAAAGGAACACAAGTGAACTAAACGGTGTTTCACACATTTGCCTTAAGATACATTTTAGGCAAATGCATTAACCCCAGCAACATACTGGAAATCATACAACTTTATTCTGACCACTCTAGATAGACAAAGGTGAAATCTGCAAAGCTGATTTAACTTACATCTAAAGTCTGGTTCTTCTGTGAATCATTCACCCTCCCGGCCAGGCAGCAGTGTGATATAGCATTGTGGATTATTGGTTTATTGGACTTGCTGCTTGGCTCCTTGTAGAGTTTTGGACCTAAAAAAAGCAGCAGGAATATCAATTGTTATAACTATACTGTACCAGGTTAACAAGCTATTCCTCTTGGCCCCGAGTATGCAAAAGGCATTTGTATATGAGATATTATACTTTAATCTGGTGCAGAAAGTGATCTTAATTGTGCAGTGCTCCCTTTACAGCACTATGGCATATGTCAGAGATAAATATATAAAAATTAATAGCGTTTGATCATGATGGGGCATTAAAAGAGTACTAAAAGGCATGGGCGGCGTTGATACCTGCTGAATGCAGAAAAATCTGCCTATGTAGCCTTGTAGCTCAGTCACTATACTGCTGTTCCATCTGAACCCAAGTGAAATACCACATCCCCAAGACACTTTAGGCGGGCATGTGGCTGATCAGCAGGGAGGATCATGCTCATTTAAAGGGATGCCAGGGATGTGTTCTTCCACTTGAGCTCATCACTCATCATCACTTACACTTGCAGTCTCTGCTCTCATGGGTGGCTACAAAGTGACATACTGAGAGAGCAGAATACACTGTGTGACACAGGCATAACGGAAATGAATGCAGGTGACCTTTGGAATGATTCTAAAGATATTGATGGGAATTAAATGTACAAAAAACAAGAGGAAATAATTGAGTATTGGAACCTAAAGCATATATGTATTTTTATTTTTACTTTAGTGACACTTTGTGTGATAGAAATAATCAAAAAAGGATATTCAAATGCATTATTCAAGAAATGTATCAAATATTAAAATGGATTTGAGCTAAAAGCAACTGAAGTGAAGTCCAGAAAAAAAGCAGGTGCAGCTAGAGTTTACAGGTTCTAACAAACATCTTTATTTTTCCCTTTATACCTAGGGATCTCCTATGAAAATACTGAATTCAGATGGGATGTCAGTGCTTTTGGATGTTGACACCACTCATCATATTTAGTGACCAGCAGCAAGACACCATCTAAAGTTGCAACTTCCTAGCTGACAATGGTAAACGAATAACAGAGCGCCTGCTCCAATCTGAAAGGAAACTATGTGTAGTCAAGCTTTAGGTGGCCATCCAGCTACCACTAAAACACAATAGATGTGACTACAGGTACACTTTAAAAGAGTACACTCCAGGAACAAAACAAAAACCCAAAACAGCTGCCTATAAGTATTTACTTTAAATATAAATTTTCAAATATATATTTTAGAAATCATAATCGGACTTTCATAACTTTAATTCCCTATTTGATTTTGTATTTATAATTTTCAGTTTGTGATATTGTGAGGAAGCCCATGGCAACCCCTAACATTTAGAACAACCAGAAAACATCAAAGTTAAGAATCATGAAAATGAGTGACGAGAGAATGGCGCACCTGAATATTCCGCCACAGATGCTATAGATGATGCAGTGGATGCATTCTCCCAATCACGCTCTGCATTTCTGCTCTGGTGTCTGCTTCCCAGTGACAAAGCTTCCACAGAGTCCACTCTAAGAATGGTGGGGGGGAAAAAAAACACAATGACTCAAAAAACTAAAAGAAAATGTTCTACTGCTTGAGAGACACCAACTTGATGAGAAATCCAGTGATCAGTCCTGATCCTCTGCTCTGCTGTGTAGCACAGGAGCTGATCAAACTACCATGCTGCTGTAACTGTTTTAAAACAATTCATGCAAGAAAGAGCAGATCTGCCTGCTTGTCATCATCAGGGACGTATCTGAGCTTAAAATTTTGGTCAGCCTAAAATTTTGAACATCTTTGAGAGAGTGCTTAACCATTTTTGATTCTTCAGTACAAATATTACTGAATTTGTCTCCCAGCTCCTTGTCAGTCATTTCCAACCCATACCTTAGAATGTAAAACAAAAGACAGACAGCGCCCCCTCCTAGTGTAAGAACATTTATTTTAAAGAGTATACATTTTTTTTCCATAAAAACTACTGACGCGGAGGTAAATTGAGAAAAGCAACAGAATGTGAACAATTTACCTCCATGCGAGTAGTTTTTATGTAAAAAAATGTTTACTCTTTAAAATAAATGTTTTTACACTAGGAGAGGGCGCTGTCTGTTTTTTGCTTTACATGATATGTGAGGGTACTTCCCGGTGGCCTTGAGGACGGCAGCCCTTTCCCTTCAGGTTGATGTGGGAGAACTTTTTCTTACGGAGCACTGTGGTGTATATTACTATTTCCATGCCTTAGAAAATGTGTATAGATTTGAAAACAAGCATTGTACAAATTGGAATTCTGGCACTTCTTTAAATATTGTATTTTGCACCGGTACATAGGACGCAGGCAGTTTCTGTCACAGTTTCTGTGACAGAAGCTGCAGTAAGTGACTGTTGAGACAGGTGGCGCTGTGATTACAGCGCCACGGTCTCAGTAATCACACAGAGCAGACAAAGAACAGATGTTCTCCGTCTGCTCTGGGGCCTCTATGGTGAGCTCCTATCCCGTGGTCACGGGTCCCTCAGAGAATCGGGGGACCCGAAAACCACGACCTGTCTCAGCAGTCACTTACTGCAGCTTCTGTCACAGAAACTGCCTGCTTCCTATGTACCGGTGCGCCTCATGTGAATAGATCACTTGTATTAAATGAGCAGAGGCTTCCACTGTACGTTTAGCTCTGCTTTAGCAGGGCTAAATGTAAAAAAATAACAGGGATTCGCTCCATAAGACGCACACACATTTTCCTCTGCCTTTTGGGGGGAAAAAGTGCGTCTTATGGAGCGAAAAATGCTGTACTTCGGGTGGATTCATTATAAACACAAAAACTGAATTTCTTCTCAACAAAAGCACAGACAAACTGTAGTAAAAAGTACCTGTGTGATGGCGTTCCGCCTGAATGGACACTTTCAGCTTCTGTAGTTGCACCAGATGCCAATGACAGGCTAGAGCCAGACTGTGCGCTGCTTAAGTTATCAGCTACAGAAAAACAAAGTGGGAGATATAGGCTGTATATAAAACTCAGTATGAGGACTTCAGCAAGCTCAGAACTATACATTGTGAATATTCAGTGTCTAAGACACAAAGAGACTGTAGTCCACAATTCATTCATCTTACAATATATCAGGAAGAAGTACAGAAGATGGAAACAGTTACAATCTTTTTCAGGTATAAAGGAGTGATGCAGAAGATGGAAAAGGGAGGAATACAAGCTCTTAGAATCTGTTCAGTTATCAGGGAGCAAAACAGGAGGTGGAACTTATGGAATATGCAAAAAAGGAGCCAAACGCTGACTGAAGTACAACCCCATTTACAATACTTTGAAAGAGTGATCTTACGTGTAGAGGAATATTTGGTTCCTGAGTCGCTGTAGGATTCCTCTCGATGGACAGATTTCGGGCGAGGCTTTTTGGGTTTGGGTTTGGGTTTAGGTTTAGGTTTGGGACGTCCTAAGCCTTGTTCCTCTAATATTTGTTGCTGCTTCCGTCTCAGATACTCCTGTTTGATGAGTTCCCTTCTGGCTTTCTCCTCATCCTTTCGTATCCGATCTTCCTCAGCTTTTCGGCTATAAAATGTAAAGAAACCATTATAATTTCTATGAACTCTGCTCTTTGTGCTGCCCTAATGCATTAGCCCATACAATTTCCTGGATGTTGCTATATGTAATGAACACAACTAACTTCCCAAGCCGTGCTGAGAACCACATTGATTGTGACTTTCATATTTATGACATCCGTTACATGCTCTTTGCTTATTTACCGGGCTTCGTCTCTCTTTAATTCAACTTCGGCCTCCAGCTGGTGTTTCCTTAGACGGGCCTCCTCTGCCTTCTTCTGCTGCTTCAACAGAAAGGCAGCTCGCTTCTTGGCCAGCTCATCCTCTGCTTTCTGGTCATCCTAGAAGTGATAAGGCAAAAAGTCGAGATCAGTAGTAAAACAAATGAAGGTTTTATTCAATGTACATTACCATATTTATATCACTCCGACATATTTCAGAATGCGGTATAGAAACACTGAATTATTGAGTACAGGAACATACACTCTACCGTCCCAACCACGCACTCTCTTTTATACAATGCCAAACTATTCTGCAGCTGTTTAGACATAATCTTGAACCACTCACATCAGCATCTGTCCCAGAAAAGCTTATCTTCTAATGACCCTACCACAGTCACACACAAAACTGTGATGGAAAGTTGCATTTCATATAAGCCTTTTTACTTTACAACCATGAAACAAACAAATGCTTTGGTGGCTAGAATCATGTTTCAAGAGAATGCAGCCAATCACTTATGAGATAATCAATGCATAGAACAATATTTGAAAAAATATAACTTTAGAGATATCTATCTAGCAGGAATTAGAGTGGGATAGTAGTGGGTGTTATAGATCAATTATACTCCACATGAAAATCTCTCCAAGCAACTTTCAGAACCTGAAGGAAAGCACCTCAATCCCTCTGGACAATTGCTGAGGTGAAAAACTGAGGTCACAGTTCCCAGAAAACACTTACGTTTTTGTCAGACTGGAAGAAACAGGGTCAGCTGTGATTTACTGCAGAGCGAGAACAAACAAAACAAAAAAAAACCACATGACTCACTTTGAAGAAAAACCCGAGACCAGATTTCTGATCCTCCCCAATGATATCTGTGGACTTCTCTGGATTATCTGTCCCTTCCTCTTCTTCTGGATCTTTAAGCTCAGAAAGGTCAACTTCTATCAGGCTAGACTTGTTCTTGAGCCGCTCATCAACCGGAACGTTTTCTTTTCCAGAATTCTCCGAGGAGCCCACACAAGCCACCCGCATGTCCTTGTGCGCTTGTTCAGATATAATATTGGCATCTTTGGAAGTGGAAAGAACAAATGTCCGCTGGTAGACTTCCTCATGTAGCCGGAAGGCACCCGAGGGTTTATCAGAATGCCCCTCGATTTGCTCTGCACTTTGATCTGATGCAATGTCGGCTGAAGGGGTGATGGGCGATTTTACAGCTGGAATCGGTTTTAAATGAGGTAAGGTCTCTATGCTCTGAGTTGGGGTTATAACACGGGAAGAGTTCTGCATTTTTTCTTTAGACATTTTATGTTCAGAGGCTCGAGAAGAACGTGGGGTTCGACCCTGACCAAAACGGTTTTTACGAGGTCCTGTGCCAGCTCCTGGTGGAGAAAGGGGCTCCACAAAGTGAACAGGTGGGTTTAATTTGAGGTCCTGGCTATTATTCTTGAGCGCTGGAAGCACAGAGGCCGGGGCTTTCATGAGCAGTTCTTGCTGTTGGGATATTTTGAGTATTGCCTGCTGTAGGGTGCTTATCGTCTCATTCAGCTTTTCAATCGAGAGGTTACACTCATTCACATCAACTTCAGAATCAGCATCATCGGGGCTACCATCAGCTATCACATTACACACGTCACCTTCATCCAAATTGGGCCCTTTCGGCTTCTGTTCTAAAACTTCTTGAACCTTTGGCTGTTTGGAAACTTCGTTTGGGAGGTCCACTTTTTCGAGGACATGTTCGGCTTTAGAGGCGATGGTTACTGCGTCTGCCTCATCTACACTTTGCTTGGTGAAGTCCTTCAGTGAACGTTCTGGCCTAAATGGATGAGAGCTTCCTTCATGCTTACTCTTTTTCACGACATGCAGGAATGCAGCCTTACCCAGTTTTAAACGCTGACGCGCTGACAACGACTCCATCTTTTTTTTCTGAGCTTCGATGGCTCTCCTCTTCTCCTCCAGCTGCATGTGAAGTTGTATCAGTTCAGAAGCTAAGATATTGACGTGGTCTTTGTTTTGTCCCCCAGGACTCTGTTCCCTCCGTTGCTTCCAGGTGGTCAGTGGAGTAGGGCAGCATTCAGAACCATCTGGGGTGGTTTTCTGTGAACTGCTGGTACTAGATTTTGTTTCATAGCTATTAAGTCTTAGAAACTTTCTTTCTGCAAAACTAGTCATTCGTACACTGCCGCTAGCCAATGAGACACTGCTGACTTGGGAAATGGTGCTTAAACAGGGACTAGAGCGTCCACTGCCATCATCTTTGTCATCGTTCTCCTTTACTTTCATGTCTTCCTGCAGTTTAGCAGACTCTTCTTCACCAATGTATTTGCATACCGGATGAGGAGGTGGAGGGAGGGCTTGGTCACACTCTTCTTCTAGATCGAGATTGTCTGAGTCAGAGTCTTGCCTTGATAACGTCCATGTGCTTTCTGGAACTTTGACGTTATCTAGAAGGAGATGCGCCAGCTTTACATCATCGTCTGAATTAGAATCATGAAGGAAAAATCCACTACTAGGTTCAACAGATGGATCAACGCTACTGGAAGCAAGAGGCCGAAAAGACCCAGTAACGCTTTCCAAGGATGCTTGTAAAGGTTCTATCCTAGGACTTTCTGTGGCTGGAAACTCTGAACTACAGACAGGGGTATAAGTTCTGTTCAAATCATGTGCAGTGTGGTTAGTAGTGATTTTTCTTCGGGGAAAAGATTGAGTAGTGCCTTCAATTTCACATCTAGGACCAAATCCCTTTGGCTTGCCTTCACCATACTCGTCCCTTTTAAGGACAATTTGTTTTTCTTTTGCAGGTTTAAGGACCGCAGGCATTAGAGGTTCTAAGAAGAAGCTGTCCGTTTTTTCAACATCTGGTTGTGGCCTCCTTGGAGACCTGGCTGTTGTCTGCTGACTAGCAGTTCGTGAAGAGAAGCTCTGTAATTCAAGGTCTCCTTGATCTGGTGTGTGACCTGATCTAATATATGCAACAAGTTCTTCCTCTTCGTCCTCCATGTCTACATGTCCTAGAAGGCTCCTTGAACTGATAGGTGCAGATGAAATAGGCATATGGTGTTTAGGAGTGGCATTTATGATGTTTGAAGCCAAGCTGTCCTTGCTGATGGACCGTGCAAGGCTAATACTGTCTCCGGAGGCCACGTCAACATCATCAGCACAGTGAAGGGCAAACGGAGGCTGGGAGAGGGGCCTGTGCAGAACACAAATAATACAGATTAATACCAGCCTTAAAGTCATGCTCTGATATGTGACAGCAATACAAAGTACAGTTCCCAATAAACTGAATAAAGGGGGAATGATCTTGTAGGAGAACTTGGGCTTTAAAAAAATAAATAAAAAATCTATATATCGATATCTCTACCTATCTATATATTGATATCTATCTATCTATATATCGATATCTATCTATCTATATCAGGAAGAGTGCCCACCTGTGGGTGAAGTAGAGCTTTAAAGTATATGTGTAAGGAGAGAAATGCAGTAACTGTAATTTCTATCTTCTGAAAATACTAGTAGCCTGGCTGGCTCTGGCTTTAATACTTTCTGAAAAACTGATAATCAGCCAGTGACCTCAAAATTCATGATCCGCATACTTGTATCAAGCATTAGCTAGCATTATTTTTAAAAGGAGAGAAAAAAAAGGCATCCTACATACCTTAGGGAAGCTTGTCATGAATTAAATATGCTGACAACTCTTGCAAATGTGAGCAACCTGGTTACAGTGCTAACCTTCTTACTTCAATCATTTGCGGCACCAATCCAGAACAAGAACACAAAGCAGGACCTTCTGCCTTTTCTTGCAGTTTCCTCATCAACATATGTATTTTGAATCATAATTCAGGACATTTTGAAGACATTAGATCATTATGCAGGCCAGCAACTAGCATTTTTAGAAAGTCAGCAATTATAGCCCAGTATGTCTTTTTATGACAGCCTTTCTTAAACTGCATGCCTACGGGGTCTATGACAGCCAGATGGCAACCTTTTAATCGGCAAGGGAGAAGTGGGTTTACAGTGTGGAGCTTCAGAGCTCAGAAAGAACGTCAGTGGTCCAGAAGACTCTGCTTTTTCTGACACTATGCTGGTCACTTGGTGACTAGAAGTAACTCCTTACAGTCAACATGGAGTAGATTTTTGCTTGGGTATCCCATTGTAAGATACAATTGAGAAATTTCAAAAGACAAGAATTTTGCACAGTGGCAACTTTACTACTGAAGGTAACTAAAAAAAAAAAAGTTACACTGTGGACTTACTAACCTTGGCTTTTTCTCTGCCCAAGCCAGCACTGATGATCGAGGTGGCACATCAGTTTGTGTCAAAGAATTAGCACGATCTCTGTGACCTATATGGAGAAATATTTTCATAATGAGCTTTTAAGCACTAGACACATGTACAAGCAGTTCTCATTTACAGTTACTGAAAAGTAAGGTTTAGTAAGACAATTCAGCTAGTATATCTTCTGAATAAAGGCGGAAGAGACACTGCTTTGCTTACACTGCCTACCCACTCAGATTGAAGAAAAATTTAGTTATTTGTGGTGGTTCACCTACAGTGATAACAGTTCAATGCCATGCATGTTAAGTATTGAGAGAGAGAGAGAGAGACTAAAAATGTGAAGCAAAAGGTAGGAGGAAGGAAAAAAAAAAAAAAAGAACGTAGTCCGATCTATGTTGCTTACTATCATCAAGCTTTGTCCTTCAATAGAAGATAAACACGAATTAATAATGGGCAAAGAAATCATCATATATGGTTTCAAGGCCTGTAAGTTAAGTTGACCTATAGTAAATTAAAAGTTGCATGTACGGTACTGTGCAAAAGTTTTAGGCAGGTGTGAAAAATGCTGTAAAGCAAGAATGCGTAGCCAGTGCCCAGTGAGGTAATGTCGGAGCATAAAGTGATTGACTCAGAGGTAAGTGTGATGCATTATATCATTTCAAATATTGATTTCTGAATTTTGGGTAAGAAAAGTTGGGGGCGTCTTATAGACGGAAAAATACGGTATGTTGATCAATTTACAAAATGCAAAGTGAATGAACAGAAGAAAAATCAAAATGAAATCAATATTTGTTGCGACAACGCTTTGACATCAAGCCAGCACCAATTCTTAAACCAAGTCAGGGATTTTGTAGGACTAGAATCAGGTGTACGATTAACCAATTATACCAAGCAGGTGCTAATGGTTATCAATTTCATATGTAGGTTGAAATACCGTCATTAACTGAAACAGCTGTGTAGGAGGCTTAAAACTGGGTGAGTAACAGCCAAACTCTGCTACTAAGGTGAGGTTGTGGAAGACAGTGTCATGTCACAGGTCATATAACATGGCAAGACTGAGCACAGCAACAACACCCAAGGTAGTGTTACTGCATCATGTGATACTGGGTTTGTTACACTCCTGGAGATAACAAGCTCTTTGAATCACCCTTATTTTTGTTTTTGACGGGTTCGTCTACCCCACCTGTAACCAAAACTTGCAGCATAAAAGAAACATTGTGTGCGAACTGTCTTACAGATGAAGGCGGTTCAGCCTAAAAAATAGATTGAAGTCAGTTTGACTAATCATCGGTTTTAATTATTGGACAGGAAACTGTCAGCTCTGTGTTCAGCAATTTTTTAATGTCAGTTTTTGATCAAATAAAGTAAATTTTCTTTTTTTTAAAATAACATTGTGGTTTGCCCCCCACCATTGGTTAACCCTTGAACCGCCTTCATCTGTAAGACAGTTCGCACACAATTTTTCTTTTATGCTAGTGTTACTGCATCAGCAAGATCTCTCCCATGCAACAATTTCAAAGCAGACTCAGATTTGAAGATATCTGTTTAAGCTATTTTTAAGCAGCACAAAGAAGCAGGCCACATTGACGACTATAGACGCAGTGGCCGGACAAGGAAACTTAATGCAGCAGATGAAAGACACATCATGCTTACTTCCCTTCATCATAAAAAGATATGTAAGGAGAACAAGTGGTCCTAAGGTCAGTGTTTAACTACAGGTCTTCTTAAACATTGCTCGGCCAGATGCAACAATGCAAAGCTTATACTTACTAGGACTCTCGTCTGAATGTACAGTCTTCTGCTGCTTCTGTCTTAAGGGCAAGAGCGGATGGGATGGACTGAATGCGGTGCTGCTTTTCCCGCTACACAGTAATTAATTAAAAAAAAAAAAATAATTACAGGGCTTGTGTAACAACAGTGGAAAACAAGCAGAAGTAGTACAAACAATTATTAAAATCACAATGCAGAAAGCTCATGTGATCTGGGATGGCATGTAATTTAACTTCATTCAAAAAAATGTTTTGTTCATCATGGAAATATTTAAATGATCATCAGCAGGACCATTAACTTAAATTGGAAAGGGACTCCTAAATCATTTTTCTTTATGAGCTGTGCTGGAATGATCTTTCATATCAAATGGGAGTTCCAAACGTGTTAGAACTAACTCTTTGTGAAGTATATATTGTGAATTAAAAGACAAGTGGGTGCTCAACATGTAAATTGGAGCGCACATAAGGTAAATATGAAAAAAAAATTGAAAAATCGAATAGACGCTGTGTGCAATTCAACCCCCCCCCCAAAAACTAACCAAACAGTAATACGCATTACATGAACAATAGTTTACTCAGCTATAGCACAAGCATTTTTACTTCATGATCTTATATAAAACATCACTAAAAACATAAAATTTGGAACCCTAAGGACCTGGATTATCCTTTGTACCCCATTGAAAGAGATATTATTTGCGTTACATCATAAAATAGCAACAACAAATGTACATAATATAATTTTTTTTTTTAAATACATCAAATACATATTCAAGAGCAAACGAACACTGGACATGAGAAATTAGTACCTTCTACATATAAAATCTATACACTGCATTACATAAGGTTATTAATGCACAAGAAAGGGCTGTGCAACCACCGTTGTGTAATACACAATAACACGCTTGTATAAGAACGCATAACTGCCATGCCACAAAGTGTGCACTCGCACTCCAATGTGCAATAACACACAATTGCCTATATATGCACAACCGCCACAATAGGCAAAGAGGGCAATGTCCATTTCAAAAAGGGAGATGGATAAAAGTAGCCAACTCTCCAAGCTCACTCCCATAGTAGACTATAACTTCAATAAAAATTAATAAACTAAGCATGAGATTGTAGTCCATCACAGGAGCGAGCTTGAAACGGTGACTACTTTACAGCACACACGGGGACCATAGGGAACAAAAGTAGTCACCCTCCAGAAGGAAGGAGAGTGTCAGCACCCATCCAGAGATGATTTGAGGATCTACAGCCGACTGATACACAAATAAGATATCTTTTTTTTTTATAGTTAAGGTACTTGAATGCATTTTAACGATTTAACTCCTGAGTTTAGTGTCGCTTTAAATATGATATCCTCATGTGGTTTGGAATCCTCAGTTAAATAAAAGAAGCACTATCCTGGCTGAATTAATAATTTAATGGTAAGACTGCCCTTTGATAATACAGCTGTGCATTTCCAAAGATGGAAAGGCTCAATCAAGGACCAACTTGAATAATGCACTGATACCAAGTACCGTACTCGGTACATGTACAGATACTTTTCGAGCTCCAGGACTAAGCTAGAGAAAAATTCAAAAGTTAGGAGGCAGCTGTCATTTGTAAGGACCACACGGAGCTCCTGGGATTGGTACATCTCTTTTTTAATGTATGATTTTGTTTTTATAAAACATATATAAAAAGGTATGCACAGATACCATTTTTGCAAGTACAAGTAATGATACTTGCCCAAGTACTCACAGATACAAGTACTGATACATTTTTGTTTATTGTCATGTGACAATTTTTCTAAAACACTACAGACTAATGATTTCAGGACAATTGTGGAGTCCCAACTGCAACCCTGGTAGTTCTCATGAAAATGCCAAGTATCGGCACTGGTATCTGGACTGGTATCTGGACTGGTATCTGGACTGGTATCTGGACTGGTATCTGGACTGGTATCTGGACTGGTATCTGGACTGGTATCTGGACTGGTATCTGGACATCCCTAGTGTCCACTTATGACAACTGTGCATGCATGATGTAACTGGTTATTATCCACTTAAAAGGAGAACTATGGGGTCAGTGTTTTTCCCCATAGTTCTCCTTAGGGTAACGGGAGGACACAAACTAGCATCCTCCCGTTACCCTAACCTCAGTATACCGCGAGCTACAGCCAACCTGTGACAGTCTCATTGTCACAGGTCGGCTAGAACTATGAGGCGAGTGGAAATCACTCATCTCATAGTTCTCCTTTAAGATGTTATTTCACATAAACAAGCAATCCACAGTACGTGACTATCAATACACTAACAAGTCCCCCACAGTACATTTCATCACAGTAACAAGTCACCCACAGTACATGTCATCAGAGTAACAAGGAATCCACAGTATATGTCATCACAGTAACAAGGAATCCACAGTACGTGTCATCACAGTAACAAGGAATCCACAGTACGTGTCATCACAGTAACAAGTCACCCACAGTACATGTCACCACTTGTAACGGTCTAACAACTTTAACATTGGCCTCCATAGGTATTGCAGTATGTGGATTGCAAAATGCCCACAATGTTTTTTGAAATTGTGCTATAGTCTCTTATGGCAACAGTGCTGCAGCTGTATACATTTGTGCATCACGCCAGCACCACTAATGTTTATTCTGAATGGTGCATAAATAACTTGCAAAACATCCACAATCTTATGTGAAGTTACACTGAGGTCTTCTCTAACAGTGTGCAGCTTCATTTTGTAAAGGCCTTACCTTTTGTCCCATGTCAAAATTTGATCATTTTAAAGTAGTGAAAGATATGCACTGCTCGGCAAGTAAAGTCCAATTGAAAATTTTACACAACAGGAAAAAGAATTGACCCTTGAATGGGTTTATTCAAAAAGCGGACAGACATGTCACAAACGAAGCATCGAGCTTTGAAATGTTTGGCAGACCTTCTAGAACGATGAACTTTGGATATCCCTACTCTATTCTAGAAGCTTTGGATAGAGTAGAAGGAACATGGATTTAAAATGTAAAAACAGGTCCAAGGTTACAGCTCTTTACATTAATCTGCAAATTTTGTTTTCACTTAAACAATGTACTGAATTGGGGGACAATTATTGACAATCAGTGAGGGGGACAACATGTCCCAAAAAGAACGAGACATTCATTAATCTTAAGATAAGGCATCTCAAGATGCATTATAGCATCTTGAGAATGATGATTCCATTGTGGTGAAATCCTCTCACAAGGGGGGCAATGTTATTGTGTTAGATTGGGTACACTACAATAGCATGTCATACAGTAGGATCCATGACAAAGAAGAGTGATACAAAATTGTGCCAGGAGAGACAATCTTATTAACAAACAGAAGTAATTTAACATTTGGGCAGCAGAGGGGGATGGGGTTATTACTAAGGACATTGGGGACTGGACTATTAAACAGTTAACCAAGTTCAGCACCATGCTGAATAGACATTAGTGGTGTTGGATTGATGCAAATGTATATAAAGCTGCAGCATTGTTGCTGAGACTATAGCAGAACTTTACACAAAATTGTGGACATTTTACAATCCGTATACAGCGTTACAGTTGTTAAACATTTATAAGTGATGCTAGACTGACAAACATTCATTTGTAGCCGCAGTGTTGTTGCTATGGGAGACACATCTTTACATTAGATTGTGAATATTTTCCAATATGTCTACTGAGACTACATGTGGATAACATCTGGCTGCTACAGGAAATGGTGGCACAAACACAATGTGACCCGTACATGGAATGGTTTTGTACACTCTTGAACACTCCTTTTTGTGCATTATCATAGTCAAGTGCATGTGTCGCTCAATGCACATTCTTGGCACATCTTCATGCCAGGATGAATGAATTCCAGTGCTCATGCATGCAAGTTACATAATTACGTCCTGGCCAGTCAAGGTGGCCAAAGACCCTGATCCTGGAAGAAGCCGGCGAGAAGATGTCAGCGCCAGAAATGGAGCTCGTGGACATTTCATCACTGGAGGAGAGGTAAGTTTTGAAGGGCATTGGATAAATCTATAAGGATAACCGTTAATGGTAACGTACAGATTTAGCCAAGCCTATGGCCGTCATGCCTGCTCACTACAACAAGCAGTGAAAAAATAAAAATAGTCAAGAATAAAAATATACTAACTTTTCTGCCTCCTCCGGCTGCAGGTGGCTTCGTGTTTCACTGTGAGAATCTACTGTGGTTGACGGACTTGCCATGAAACTTCGCTTTGTAGCATTGGAAATTGGAATCTGAGGTCTACTGCTCTTCTGGCACAATACTGATTTAGCTGGAAAAGGTACAGAAACACAAGCTAGCAGTTAGTAATGCAGTCTCATCTTAAAGAGAATGACATATTAGCAAAACTTTATCACTGCAGAAATCCTGTAAATACACAATAAAAAGACACCAAAACTATTTTGCAAGACATTTCTGACGCCTTTCCCTTTATTCGTTTCAACAGTAATGCTAAATTCTGCACAAATGAATCACAGCAAGCAGAGGTGGTGTGAAATGCATTGAACTAGATTCAGAAAAACAAAGACTAGAAGCCGCACAGAAGTCTGTGCACAAGACATTCCCTTAAAGTGGGAAAGCGCTGCAAGAAGGGAGGTTTTTGTCCTAATGCACAGTATACCTGCACATTAGGACACACTTGCCTTACAAGTGTGCCCTCCTAAAGCTGACTGTTCAATCTTCGGTCCCCTGCTGCCATCATTTCCCCAACACTTCAACACGTCAACACTTCCAGTTTCCCAGGTATCCTATTCATCCACTGGGTGGCCATTAAGGAGGAGCTGCATCCTACTCCTCTGTTAGGGGTGCTGTGAATCGGCTAAGTATAGCGCATGTGCCGCACAGTGTAAACAGAAGGTTAAAAAAAAAAAAAAATCATCGATAGGGGAAAGAGGACGTTTTTTTGGCAGAAGAGATTTTGGATTTTTTTTTTCTGCCAAAAATCCCTACCTCCCCGGAATTTTTCTAGCTTTACTTCCACTTCCTGAATTTACTTCCACTTTAATCTACTGTTGACTGCTCCTAAGGGCCAGTTGTGTTCCACACAACTTGACATACAGCTGAATTTTCATTTAAGTGTTGAACTTAAGCTTGTCATCAAAGCTACAATACAGTTGTACAATTTCAGTAGTCTTTTAACCCCATCACTGCCTGATTTATTTTTGCCATTCTGGAACCATAGGTGAAGATTAGGCCTGAAAATTACTTAAAACCCCTCAATTAATTATTTTCTAAAACCTGCAAATAAAAAGATGATCACTGTAAATTCAATGCCCGCCCAAAGAAAAAAAGATGTACTCCAAGAAATGTATTTTACAGGTAAGACAACATTTTATTTTTTGCTTGGTATACACTTTAAAGCTGGCCATACACTGGCCAAATATTACAATCTAATTGTACAATCTACCAACAACTATATAGTACAAGGGCCTGCATGATTGCTTACAAAGGTTGTTTAGGTGAGATCTCTCATTACATTGTGGCATTGAAAAGGGTCTAAACAAGCCTACAGCTACAACTGATATGCAGTTACGCAAATATAGTGACATACACATACAAAATAAATAACTCACCACCTGGATTTAGGGCAGTGTTATATTCTGGGAATGCTTTAGTTGGTCAGGTCTAGGTTCAGCAATGTTATGTACCCATAAAATGAGGTCAGCTGCCTACCTGGATATACTGAATGACCAGCTTTTTCCATCAATGGATATTTTCTTACCTGATGGCATGAGCATATTCCAGGATAACAATGCCAGGATTCATCGGTCTCAGATTGCGAAAGAGTGGTTCAGGAAGCATGAGACAATTTTACACATGGAAAGGATGTCCCACGCAGCCACAATGTTGAGCTGCAGTGGCCTGGAGTGGAAGTGAGCATAGGGATTTGCGTCAAGGAAGGCAAGCACATGCCCAGAACCTTCATGTAAAAGCGGGTGGTTGGATGGCTCATGGACCACAAGGTCCAAGCTTGAAAGTGGAGAGACAGACGTTTCTCGAGAGAAGGAATACCTTGAAAAGGGCCATGTACAGGTACTCCAAGCACTGAGAGGGAACCAGCATTGACTTCTGAAGGTTTAGGATCAATCCCAAACTCTGAAGATAGAATCACCCAGTAAATATTGGACAATAGGGCTTGCACTGACTGCCCTCTGAGGAGGAGCTCAACCAAGTATACCACTGTGGGGATCCCGTGGGATCGAAGCAGGTCCAAGACAGGTGCCAGCACCATACTGAAAAGCTGGTGTGCAGTGAAAAGTCCAATGGTAAAAGCAACAAAATTGGAACTATGAGGTGCCCACAGCCAAATGCAGGTAGCAATGGTGGAGAGGAAAAATGGCGATGTGCAAATACACATGCTTGATTTCCAATGAGGCCAGGGAATCACCCGGGTAGATTCCATATAGAACTTTTGGACCAGCAGAACTTGTTGAGAATCTTCAGATCTAGAAAGGGGTGAAACCCGCTTTGGAGACAGTGAACAAGTTGTGTGGCCCCCTGCCTAGGCATCTCTTCACCTATGATCTGGCACGTACGCCCCCAAAAAACGCAGAACCTGTGGGTGGGGAGGGTGCCCTGTGTTCAGACACGGGAAGGCAGAAGATGCTGTACCTGTGAGTTATAGCAGCAGATGTGTGTATTCAGCCGAACGAGCGCGCGTGAGAGAGAGAGAGAGAGAGAGAAAATGGCAGGCAGATGCTTAGTAGGGTACCTGTGAGGGAGGTAACTCAAGCGCGTTCCACGGCCCGTATGTCTCAAGGGATTTTTAAAAACTGATGCCAATTTCAAAATGTAAAGCTTTTAACACTACTACTAAAAGTGCTACATAACAGTCAAAACAAAACTGCAGATTTAACCCTTTAGGGAACTGGGGGTAGTATTTGGACATCTGACGAGCATGGCCGTGGCTCACCAGAGTTGCTTGCAATCCTCCCCAAGGATGCTAGAGCACCAGCTGGTTACCTCACATGCTGCACAAGGTGCCAAATGCAGGGTCCAGTGACTAAGCACATTACATGCTTGCCCCATATCTCTCCAGCGGGGTTCAGGTACAGTGTATCAAGGCTGTCGAGGAGAAAACCAACATGTATAGCCAATAGAGGCACCACAGTGGTATAGAGCATGAAAGAAGGCATCCATCATGTAAGGACACTAGCAAAAAAAAACAGACAGGCTGGGAGTGGTTAAGCAAAGCTGTCCTGAAGCTTTAATTGATTTGTCTCCTGCTTCCACTGTTTAAACAAGCTTTAAAATCACAATTATGCTGCTTGTCTATGTGGGCCTCAATGCCCACATAACCAAAAGGGTTAGATAGTAGCACTGAAGATCATTATTAAAAAAAAGGTGGAACACACTTTTACATTTTCTTTTTTTTACATTTATGCTGTTGCTCCATTAGCCGCAGAAAAATAACCAACAGCATAGCAAAGAGCTGCATAGACCTGGGAGCTCTAGACACTGAAGATAACGTACCCAAATGGTCATTAACAAAGAGAATTTACCATTACATTATGTTTGTGGTAAATGAATAACAGTACAGCTGTATGTCAAAATGTTCATTTCTTAAAGAAAGAATTTCTTTTGAAATGCAAAGAAACTCTCCTATCCACCATGGACAGCACAATCTTAGCCTGTATTTAGATCTGTAGTTGTCATGTGATCAGCTATTTGAGGGCTTATGAGTTGGTTTGGGAGCTGACATGATTAAGGATTAAATAGCAAATATGGAGCTTTTTTGACTTGAGATTTCTTTTGGCAAACAGTAAAATCTGTGAGTTCAGTTCCGCTTTAAAGTGGGTCTAGGAAGAGTACTCGACTGTGTCAAAATATGTATAACTGAATAACTGTAAGAGCAATCCAGATAAAGCAAAATTCCGACAATTGTCTCGCTTACCTTCTTTCAATTCTTGAGCATCTCTGGGCTGAACAAAGTCAGGTTTCACATTTTCAAACCACCAAAAGAGCTCAGCGATAAACACCATAAAGTTAGGCTGAGAAAGAAAGAAGAAAAAAAATAAGTCGTTTGTTCATTTCTTTTTGCTGACTGCTGGACATGATTCTCCAGGGACCTACCTTCAGAACTGGTGGGGAATAGAGCATGTCTTCTAAGGTCAGGTAAAAGCACTTGTTTAGGTATTCGCTGGAGAATTCCTTTAGGAGCTGGATGTTATACAGGTTGTCAGCCATTGATGGCACCTCCTTTAAACAGATGTCTGCATAAGAGGGAGAAAGAAAAAAAATAAGAGAAGTGGTGTCAGAAGGCCATGCATCCAGCTTTGGGTTGACATACAAGTATCTGTGTTACAAGAGAAGGTGTAAAGGAAAAAAATAAAAACAAAAAAGGTCTTCAAAACTGAAAAGGAATTAAATATGTACATTAAGTGGACAATGGCCTGGACCTCAAACTAAACAAAAACATGGTGGTTTCCAAAGTCTAACCTGTGCCCTTTCCATAATTTTTCTGGTATAACAGTTAAGTGTCATAATTTATTACTTTAAAGTAGGGATGTCCCAATACCGATACTAGTATTGCTATCAGGAGTAATTGTACTCCTGAAAATGCCCTGATACTGAAGGCCGATACTGGCCCTTTACATTTTTCAGGAAGTTCGCCTGCCTGAGGTTCTGAGCATGCTGGTTCCTCAGGCAGCTGTCTTGTACTTGTACTTGAAAAAAGTTGTATCGATACATCCCTACTTTAAAGTAAACCTTTACGGAAGGAAATATGGAGGCTGCTAGTGCTCACAGTCTGTTGAAATGCTAGTTGCCTTATTTTGCCGACCCTGTGGCTTCAAAACCTTTGGAGTCACAGATCTGGAAGAAGCCATCATATCAGCAAAGTCAGACTTTCTTTGCTGCATATTAAGAGCAGCAGAGGTCACAGTTTCAAATATATAGGCTTACTATAAAATTGAATAAGAAGATTCCCAGAAACCTAATGGCGGAAAATACCCTTAACAAAACAAAGTAGGTAGAGACCCCTCAAACATGGCTAGATGTTATGAAAGAGGTTTTCCTTCAACAGTGAAAAAATTCTGCAACCATCCAGCACAGTTGTCTTCAGTGGTCACGCAGGCCTTTGGTGTTGCAGAGTTAACCATAAGAATGTATCAGTTTGTTGATTTGGCCACCCTTTTACTTACACTGACAACTCTATGGATCGTATATAGAATATTCACAGCAATGGCTTCCAAATTCAAATTCCATACTTGCAATTGATCGCAGACTTTTCTTTTTAACTTTTGTAAAATGAAGAAAAAAATAAATAAAATAAGCTCACACTTGGCCATAGAACAGAATATCAGTTACCTGACAATGCTTTTGGTCCCTTAAACAGAAACAAAAAAAGGAAACTATTTCATAAAGTTGGCCATACACTGATTGAAATTTGACCAGTGTGTGGCACTGTCAGCATCCTTACATTTGACAGAAGTCGGAGTATAATAGCCTGACGATGGGGAATCCCACATCCATGCTTTTAGCAAGAATAGGGAAATTAAGAGGTTTTTCATCATGGAGACTGCAGTACGTTTGCTGTAATGAAAACTAAGGCTGCTTAGTTGGGGTATAACGAACACTTCAAAACTGCACTTACCATCAAGTTTCATCTGTTCTGGACAGTAGAAGTGTATGACGGTCAGGAGGGCTGCTCCATCGCTAACATCTTTCATTAAATCTTCAAGTAATGGGAAAAAAGGAAGGTGTCTGTTTGATGGGTGGTCCCGGCGGTAACGCACCTGAAAAAGGAAAGGTTGATGAGTCAATGGTGGTATCAATGGTACAATAAAGTTACTTTAGGGCCAAATCCTAGAGAGTTAAACAGCTATAACTAGAAACTATATAAAGCAGGGGGTTGTGTGGCTAGAGCCTTGTGACTGTAGAGTATAAAATATCCACACTCCAAGAACGCTACAGTAATAATCACACGCTAAAACACAACAGGCAGGAGAGATATCAATCTTCCACAGGATCCCACAGGAAGGAGAAAGAGTAGGAAACTGAAATATTTAGTGGATGCATGCAAACAAATCATTTTAAAATGTTGGACTTTCATCTAGGGTTATGGTTCCTTAATGCTTGAGGACTGTACTTATTTTACTCTTATCCTCACAGGCTGGGTTCTTCATCCGATTGTTTTGACATATCTCATAACCTACCACCCAAGGCACAGGAGCTTGCATTCTAACATCCCCTCCCAAGGTATAGAAATACATCCTAACACCCATGTAGCTACTGGGTTGTTTTTAGGCTGAGGTTAGAAGCTGGAAAACTGGATATGGAGAAAAACCACAGCAACACAGATTAAAAATGTAAACTCCTGATGCGAACAGAGAGACACCTGAATGAGAACTGAACCTTGGGCCACAGTGCTCAGAGACCGGTCCTAGCCACTTAAAGTGTATGAGAAGGCTAAATGTAAAAAAATGAAAAACCTTTATTCTCGTTTAAACCTTTGTGGTTATTCTAACTATGCCCGTTTTTTCTTTGCCTTTGAAATATCCTGAAAGACCTGGTGATCCTGCCAGTCTTCTTCCTTCTGGTACAACTTTCTTCCTCACTTTGTCAATGCTATCCATAGGTTCAGACCTGTGGTAGTGTTGACAGTCATGCACAGTTCAGCTAGCAAAAGGGAACAGCAGGAGGGAATGAACATACAAGCCTGCAATTCCAGAGTAACCTGTGTTGTCACAGGCTGATCCAGCCAAAGCCCTACCGTTCCCCCAGTGAGTGACAGCAGCTCCCATTTGGAGTCAGGTATCCTTTAGTATTCACATACACTTTAAAGCTGAAGTTTAATCTGCTTATGTTGTTCCTCCCTTCCCCCTCATCAAAATGCAAGTGAAATTTTTAAAGAAAATCTTTCCATTTTCATTACATATCTTATTTTTGACCCACTGATTTAATCCTTTCATTACACGGTCTCTGAACCTTTTGACTTTCTGCAGCATCAAATGCACACTGTGAGAAGCTCAGAGTCTGCATAATATTAGAGTGAGCAATTTCAGTACAAAAAAGAAGCCAGTACAAGGGTGCAAGACCAAACGGAAGGCTAGAGTTCACCTTTAACTACCATCTTTCCCCAAGATTTACCTTAATTCCCCTTTCAGCATTACAATATCCTCACTTACAGTAATAAAGGAATATTTTACTGCCTCCTACAGAAGAATTCAGGATTTACCTCTCCAGAAATAATTTTGTACTATGACTATCTCCCTTCATATTCTTCTCTGTAAATCAGGACACTGCCCCTGGTGCACTCATCCTGTCCTCATGTACACAATCAACAGCCACCTACAACGACAGTATTTTTCAATCCCAACTACTCTGTGCTGCTGGAAGGCTCCTTTTCTTCTGGGAGATCAGTACACTCCCCTGAACAGATGCAGACTGTCCTAGTGAGCCCAGAAACCCATTGCGAATTCAGCCGTGCGCATTAAGGCCCATAACCCTAGTGTAAGGGTTAGTCCACTGAACAAATAATCTGCTATTGGCTTTTTACATCTTTCAGGGACAACAAAAGTGAAACCCACAGCCTTAATCTTGTTTTGATGCACATAGAGGAGGGGTAGACAAATTAATATTATATGATAATATAGAATATCGATTTCAGGGGCCAATAGAGGAGGGGTAGACAAATTAATAGTATATGATAATATAGAATAATCGATTTCAGGGGCCAATAGAGGAGGGGTAGACAAATTATTATATGATAATATAGAATATCGATTTCAGGGGCCAGACGGATTTTTTTTTATTTAGGTGTCAGCCCCATTGACAACTAGAGAAAGCCTCAAAAGTTAGTCGCCAGCTGTTATTTTTAAGGAGCATTGGCTACCAGGATCCTCGGATTAGTCAAGCCCTGACATAGAATCTCAAATCTTTCCATGCAATCTGTGTGTTAGGGTCCCCACACACCTTACGATTATCGTACGAGAATCGCGGGAAATCCCGCGATCGTAAGGTGTGTGGAAGCCGTGCGACCTCTACTACTGTAAGGTCGCACGACTTTAAACTTACGGACATGTTCGAAAACCCGCCGAGCATCGTACGATGTTCGGCGGGTTTGTGGCATGTCCGTACGATAACAGCCGCACGGGCCGGTGTGCGCAAGCACACACTGCCCGTTCGGCATTGCGGTCATCGGAAGCCCACACCCTCAGGGGGCGTGGCTTGCGATCATGGCAAATACGATCTGCCTATGCAACATAGGCAGATCGTACGTTTAAGTACCTTACAACCATCGCAAGACAGAAGTCTTGCGATGGTTGTAAGGTGTGTGCCCAGCCTTAGGATTAATGGAACATTGTAGGGGGATAAAGACATCCCCCTGATGACTTAAGCTACTACCATTAACCAAATGAAATATTTTGTGAAAAACTGATCCCTAAACATATTTGCAAAAATTCAGAATTCCCACTAAATATTTCAGTTAAAATGTGGTTACCATTTCTCTTTTGAATTTTGTGGGAACTTCCCGTGAATAACAAAAAAATACAGGGAATAATAGTTTAGAGAGGGAAAAATGGATTTAAAAAAAATCCAACTCTCCCAGTTCAAGTTACTTTACTCTGAGGATTTTTAGAAAGGTCAGGAAGGAGGCAAGACTACAAAAAATGCCCATTGGGAAAATTTTTGGGTAAAAACAATGTTTTTTGTTTTACACGCGGCAGGCAATATGTTCTTTGGTGAGTGAGCAAGTCTCAGCCACAATGGAGAACACTTACACTGCATGCCCCCACATACCAGATCTGCTACATATGCAAAGGTTAGAAATACTATACCACTCGCGCATACTCCACGGGTTCCAGCATGCAATGCGCTAGGGCATGCATTAGATCAGGCTTAAAGACACAGATGAAACAAGAAACACACAGAGAATGAGACTATTAATTATGGTTATGCGTGTGGTTAGTGCAGTGATTACAGAGAGGCACAGACGGACAAACGCACAAGGACTGATGGCCAATGGCAGAGCAGATTCTCTTCTTTTGTGTGGATATTAAGTACAGAAGAAACTACAGTATGAACCAATGTGGTTTACGGCTGAACTGCCTTGCCAGTTTATCCTGAAATCTTGTTGTGGGTGTAGTGTAGAAAGCAGGGTCAGAAAACCTGAAGACCTCCATCTGTCTAGGAACCGAGTCTCAGCATTCTAAGCCAGACTTTGGTGGTTTCCGCAACAGTTGGTGGGCTTTGGTTTGCCATAACCTGCTAGAGAATGAAAAAGCTTGACACTAAGATGACTGTATACCATGGTGGGATGAATGAAAGTTTTACATCAAAAGGATTTTAACTTACAGGTACTAACTTCCAATACCATTTTGAAGGAGACTTTTGAGGAAGGAAGGAGAACAAGTTAGGCAGAAGAAAGGAAAGTTTGGCAGATTAAAAACGGTACAGTTCTGGCACAGCAGGTTAAATAAAATATTCTAAACTTTCCATTCTTTACCACTTTCAGTGCTCAGAAACTGCCTCAAGTACTCAATATTAGAATGTTTACTTTTTATGGCATCGATGCTTAACATTTACAAACAGGTTCTTATCTGTCCTGAAAAAAAGAAACTGGCAATGGTTTCTAGAATCCATAGCAAAGGGAAGTTGCACAAAGCAAATAAGGTCTCATCTTGTGTTCTCTAACCTGCATAAAACAATGAAAGCTGGAACCTGGCTGCTATGGGCAAAAATATTATATTTCCTGTGTTTAAAAGGTGGTGCAAAGACTTGTTATAGTGTACTGCATGTCAAGCAATCCCTCAGTACAAAAGGCCGCCAAGCTATAAAACACATCTACTGTATATTTACATAATATAATAGACATTTTCAATATAAATATTTACATTTTATCTGTAGACTTATCCATTAGCGCAAACATTTAAATCTGAACTCCAGGCAGATATATAAAAAAGCAAAAACAAATTAATGCAGCTTTGTATCCATTAATACATCATTTGTTTTATTTTTGTTGGATTCCAAGCTGTGTATGTACCTGAATTTGGTTTGGTATGAGCCTTTCAAAAGTCCTGTACACCAGAGCTCAGACTGGGACAGGGAGAAGCAGCACAAGGAGCCAATCAGTTTTGCTGCAGTGCAAGATGATGATAGGAGGAGAGAGCAGAGAGAGAGATCAGCTCAGCAGTCTGTTGCTTCTCTTTTCATTGTCCAGTTACAGGCTGGGGGAGGGACAAGACCTGTAAGTGATACTGAACTGCAGCAGAAAAATAAAAATCATGCTTCACGTCCTGCCAAAAAGGGCTGTGGTGTGTGCAGAGCTGTGTAAATCTCAGGACTAACTAGATGGGCATAAATACAAATAATTTGGGAGGTATAACAGCTACCTCATATTTATTTTATGTATTTAGCTTTATGTCTGGAGTTCAGCTTTAAAATATGATCTTAATTATCAAACAGGACAAAAAGCATTCCAGGTTAGAGTCTAGTCAAGCATGCATACTGCAGCCCTTTAAAAGGTATTACATATTTGATTGTGCTGAAATGCTCTTGCGGCCTCAAAAACAAAGTCTTGCAAAATTAGAAAGCAAAAGTAGGGAGCAGACAAAAGAGAATGCTAGTAAAGACAAAATCATCAGTGAAATTACATAAAACCAAAATTTAAAAAGAGAACTAATGCCAAATCTTTTTTTTGGCTTCTCTTTTGGGTCAAATGAGTACATTTACTCATGTCCTCCTGTGATCCCAAGTCGACATCTAGCAGGCTACTGCCCGCTATATAATGACAGTGCAGAGCCGCACTACAGCTGGGAAAATACTGACAATATTGTCAGGATCCACCCAGCTACCTGATTGACAGCTGGCTCTGCCTCTCTAGAGCCAGCTTTTCCCCCCTCTCGTCTGTCCCTCAAATAAGTGCTGGAGGAACAGAAAGGGAAGGGGGGAATTCCTGTGGGGATCAGTGACTTTCAGTCACCACTCTCCACAGGGAGAAGTCCATGAGCCGAGCGATCAGTGGTTCATGATCACTTAGCTTGCGATCTATAGGAGGCGGTATTCCATCTAAAGTTCCAACTTGTCGACCTCTCCAACTGGTGACATCACATCCGGTGACTGCCAGGAGGAGATCTACAGCAGATGGTGCTAGTATGCTTGCCCAGGAAATCCTTGTCAAACCGTCTAACTATTGCCACAGCGCCTGCGTGGCTATCCACTTCTATAACCTACTACAGTTATATTTGTCCAAGGTTATAGAAGCCGATAGCTGCGCAGGCGCAGTGGCTTTTGCCTCATCAGATTCTATAACCTAGTCAAAGGTTATATTATGTTACAGCGCCTGCTCGGCCACATAATTCTTTCTACAACCACAGTTGCCACTGCGCGGCTATTGGCTTCTATAACTTAGAAAAAAAATATAAGTTTGTACTAGGTTATAGAATCCAATGAGCCACGCAGGCGCCGTAGCAAAAGTTAGACAGGTCGACAAGAATTTTCTGCCCATGCGCACTAGCTCCATTTGCTGTACATCTCCTACTGGCAGTCACCGCATGTGACGTTCTCAGTCAGAGAGCTCAACAAGTCAGAGCTTTCGATAGAACACTGGTATGCGACACCTGCAGTGTCACACACCGGATCCAAGTATTGGGAAAAGTACATTTTACTCTCCCAGTCTACTAGGTTTTTCTTGATAAAATATTAGCTCCAGAAGTCCCTGCATTTAAGTGTAAAACATCAGCAGGTTTATTTCCAGGCTGCTTTTTCTTGATTTTAGTAGCTCTACATACTGCTCAGATGACCCAGCACGTGTTAGCCCAAGAAGGTAGTGTGAACCTGAACACATGCAGACCTTCAGGAGCTACAGTAAGCTGAACTCTAATGGATAGTGTTCTGCCAGATAGTACATCCAAAAATCAAGGTGCATTCACAAGTTAGCATCAAATCTTATAACTTATTACAGAGTTTCATACTTTGCCATACAGTAAACCTGCCATAAAAATGGGGCTATTGCCGACTGAAAATTCTAGTTTCCAAAGCAATTGTCCTAACCCTCATTTTCAATTATTTCTAAATCAATTAACCTGGAAAAAAGAATGCAGATCAGAAAAGACTTTGATCTGGAACTTTTTCTGGGTCAATGCTGTCAATTAACGAAGCCAGGGGCTAACAGCTAAGCAACTAGCATTTTCAGAGACCAGTAATTACACCTTCCATGATTCTTTTATGACAGGTTTACTTTAAAGCAGGTAGCTTATTGCAGTAGCTTCACTGGTTGGATCCTGCTGCTGTCTACATTTTGAGGATTCTTAGCGAGACAATGCAGAGCTGCAGTAAAGGCAGTGCACTCCTTGCTAACCAAAACTCTTCATAAATATTCAATTTCTTCCAATATCCATACAATGTTACTGCACAAGGACAGCAACACATTTATAAGAATACCTTTTGATGACTGGGGCTCTCAATTATTTGCTGTTTTAACCTTTGCTCCTTTTCCAGAATCTCCCTCATTTTCAGGTTTACCTACAAAATAAATGTTTTCATAATGAAACATATATTTAGCTTTGACATACTCAGCAGTACTCTACAAAGAACAGTGCATCATTCACAACAGTCTGTGCCAGAGACGCTTGTACTTTAATGTCCCCACCACTGTCACATACACACTATTATTTTTTTTGAGCTCTGATATTTCTCGAACGTCCATTGAGGGACACAGCTCTGAAGAATTCTGATACCTCGGGTTATGTTGCTGCTTCTAGTAGAAATGGGCACTAGGCAAACAAAAAAATTAAATGCCTGAAACTTTAGGGATATAACCCCTCTCACCTCACAATGGCCAGTTTCACTTGGTGTCCTCAGGAGAATGGATGCATATTTCCCTTCTGCTGTATTATTTTACTTTATTTCTTCAGAGAGGACAAGGGCTTCTAGTTGATTCATACCGGATAGAATTAAATCCCGGGAGCTGACTAGACTCATAGTAGATAAGTTAAATCCTGGAAGTTTCCCTAGTCTTCAGAAAACAGGATATTTCTGGTCTTAGTACTTATGCTTCGTCTTGAGGTGTTCGTGAAGCAGGTCGTATCTGGTCTCAGTACTTATGATTTGTCCTGCAATGGTTCGTAGTTCCCATAATCGTTGCTAAAAATTATTATCTCAAGCCAATATTGTCTGGGAATTCCTATAGTGGCTAAGGAAATAGGGGCATGGAGTCATATTAATATATGTAGTTAGGTCCTTAAAGTGACAGGCTTTTCATTTTTTGTTTGCCTAGTGTTCATTTTGCAGCATAACCCTACGTATCAGAATTCTTCAGAGCTGTGTCCCTCAATGGACTCCGAGAATAGGATTTCTCGGAAAAGAAAAAGAACAAAATTATATTATCACATAGTGCTCTACAGAGAACATTCTACCATTCAAAAATCAATCTATTCATCAGAAAAAGCACCTGTTTTTGTATGGAGAGGTGATCGGGTAGCCACCTAAATAACGAACTTTAAAGAGCAGATTGCAGCCATGAGCTTGTATTAACCCTTTAGTTGTCAAACCATATAGGACATAAATGGCTAACCCAAAATAAAAACTAAAGCTTGCATGACTGACTCTTTTGACATTACTATATCAGCTGATGGCTAAAAATTAGCGATGAGATTATAATAAAGTGTTGATAAATACAGAGGCAGTCTGATAATGAAGCTCCTACATAAATATTAGCAGCGTTTACGGATTATGTGTCCCATACCTTATTAATCCAGAAAACCATAGCATCCTCCAAATCGTATGGAAGCTCTTTGGAGGCGCTAAATGTGGAGAAACGCTTGACACTTGCAACTACTTTCTCAATGCTGATCATTTCCACAGTATATGCCATCATCAACGCATCAATCATGGACATGTGGGCACTCTAAAAATGAAAAAAAAAATGAACTTAAGCGGATTGGATTATGGAATTGAGTTGCATGGGCCATTGTGTAGCAAGATATTTAGCAAAACACACACATATGTAAATATGAAGTGGAATGGAAAACCCTGTTTTAAATGCTGCATAACAATTCAGTGCACTACAGGCAAAGAAAAAGTGAAGTTAGACTGATCAGGAATTAAGGCTTGTGTGCAGCGGATGGTGCAGATTTGATATAAACAACTAATACAAAATAGGAAAAGTGGCAAGAGATTCTTTAGATGGACCCTCAGCCAATACAGGCAAGTTTTTATTGCAGTGTAGGTGCAGTGGATACTGGCCAACGCGCAGAGTATGATGTGACATTTAATGATGTAAATAGGTAATCTTAACAATCTTAAGAGGAATGACTTCTCCTAAAACAATCAGCATACCTTCTGAGAACTACACATTTGTGCCACAGATCAATCAGCCAAAGAAAAGAAGAAAACGGAAGTAAATTTATAAAATGTCCTCACACCTTCTTGCTGTATATTATACGCCGCAGAATATGATTTATTCCCGAATTCCTCTAATTAGAAACAGAAAGCCTTCTCAGCTCAGGTCAAAGCATTGTTCTAGGTAGATTTTAGAAGAGCAAATATTTCACCACTCTCCCACTGGAGAGATTTCACCTCAGTTCAGGATTCTACCTCCAGGGGACCGCTAAAACTTTGGCAATGAAATCTGTCCTGCCACAAGGGTCTTAAAAAAATCTGGCAGTGGGGATGTTTAACTGCTGCAGGTATGAAGTGAGGATACCTAGAGAAATCTGGGCATAGCCCTCCAATCCTACCTGTCATGGCAGAATCTCGGAACAGGTAAAGCTCCAAAACTTTTAGGCACTAGTACTGGAGCTTGTTGCAAAGCCCCCCTTTAATTACTGTAATCCTGGGATATGACACAAGGCTGCTCCGTATGCAACTCAATTTGATGCAGAGAATACATCAGAGTTGTATCCCTGGCAGCTGATTAAATCAGTCTTTGAGAGATGACAACGCAAATTGTGATTCTGCCCATTGTTGGCTAAATAATTTCCTTCACAATTTTTTGGAAGAGTGCATACAATGAGTAGTTATAGGGCTGATGGTGTATGGAGCCAACTTTGCCCCCTTCCTTCCTTCTCTACTCACCAGCTGGACTGCACAGACCACATGTGATGGTGGCTGACAGAGACACACTTCCCTACATTGTTTGCCTTCATCATTATTGATTATGTGTCACCCCAAATTCACTGAGGATTCATGCCCAGTCAACTAGGCATGTCCTATTAAATCAGCTTGTGATGTTACGCAGTAAAGTTCAATAATTCATTATATGCTCAAAACATAAGCCCAGAAACATACATGTTAACTTTTCTATGACTAATGCTGTAACAACCCACTTGGATGACATGTATTTAGCATGCCCTCCAGTGCTACATTATATCACTGAACAGTGGGAAATCTATAACTTACAGACAGCATGGATCGAACAGGACAGCAGCTGAAAAACCTGAACTTCAGTAAAACAAGCACAGAGGAATCTACAAAATCTATTAGAAAACAGAACACACACACACACGTTTAAAAACTACTCTGAGCTAGAGTCTAAGAGACCTATTATACAGAATGACAAAGTAATTGCTGTATACAACATTATAGTGAAATTTGTTTCTACACAGACCATTTTGATTGGGGCGCAGCTGAGGTCAGCTTCGGACACAGGTGCGTCTTCACTCTCCATGACATAAATCCCTTTCTGAGACAAAGCCTCAATGACAGGTTGGTGGCCCTGCAAGGCAGCCACCTGATCCCCTTTGAGGATGAGGCTGCAGACACGGCAATAGAGCTCGCTTGAGAGTAGAAGCTTGATGACAGGTGGTTTGATGTGTTCCTGCTCATACTGGTCAATGTAAAACGCGTCCTTTAGCTCCTCGGGAACATTATCTGAAACAAAGGCCAACAGACGAAGATTAATGTAGAGCTAATGACCTGATCAAACAGCCAGCAAATCAAATTATTCTTTATGTCTACACATATAAATTAAATTAGCACTTCTTTATCAAGCGATACCATTTCTTTATTTAAAAACAGCTCAATGGCATTGTAAACAAGAAAAAATAAAACAGTTTTGTGTGGATGTCGAAACAAGATTTTTTTTTTGGTTATCTTCTAATTAGGGAAACCAGTGTGGAGATATCTGTATCCAAACACTCAGCTTAAACTTTCTTCTGAAATGATTTAAAGGGGTTGCTTCCAAAAAAAGAATGCAGCAGCAGGGATAAGAGGCTGTGTTGCAGGTTTGTGAATTCAGAGTAGAGCCAGCAACTGCAATGGGAGGAAATTGGGGAAATGTCCCTAAAAGGCTGTAGACGGCAAATAAAACTCCACAGAGGATCTAATCATTCCTTGTTCTAACAAAACAATATAAAATGTTTTGTCTGGAGTTGGGTTTCTAATATTGGCTTTGGAAGCACCAGTTACTAAACACCAAGTTAACAAACCGCCTAATCGCTCCATTACTAAAATCTTCATCACCATCATTTCTAAGTTTTCTGCAAGATATCTTTATATGCTAGGAGTAGTTCACAGCACCTGTAATAGGTATAAAAGACTGTCAAGCTGAGAAAAGGTTTGAGATCCGTTTTTCAGATTGTATTTAGGATTTTCTCCTGCCTATAAATTAAATCCATCTGGTTTCTTGTATCTGTGACACCACAGACTACACCATAAACCAGGTTTCAGGTCTGTGTTTTACTAAGAAGTTGCCTTCCAAAATTAAGTTTACATTTCTAGATGAAGTACTTCTTTAACCCCTTGGCGGCTGATTACAGTACGGAACCATCATCGCAAAAATCACCATGACTACTGATGATGGTCCCAGACCGTCATGAACATAATCAAGCAGTGGGAGCGATCGGTAATCGCTAATGCTGCTTTCCCGTTACCATCTTCCTCGCATCTGAGACAGATTAGTTACAGCCAACAGTGATTCGGGAGCATCACATGACCACTCCCAAAACCACTGATTGGCTGCTTTCCAGGCCGCTTTCCAGGCCTTCAACTTCTTCAGGACCGCTGTACGTAGCTGGTCCTGAAGCAGCTCTACCAAGATCATGGCTGCTGCAGCCATGATCTTGGTATGGCTGTTTTCAGCAGGCAATTCTTTTTAAATTACAAGTGATTTGGGCTGGCCCCTCACCAGCGCTGTTTCTGGGTCCAGGGGACTACTAATCCAGAACTGCAGATGATCCTCAACATTCCCCTGGCCCTGACACCACTGCTCTTCTGGATACTGAGAGGCCCCTGCCATTGAACATCCAACAGTAAGTGTCCACATCACAGAGGCAATAGTGTGGACACCAAAAGAAGGACCCTGCTAAATGTAAACACAAGAGGAGAGAAGGCCCAGGACTGTAGCCTCCTACGATCATGGCTTTAGGCAAGTAAACAGGTCTGTCAGCAATCAGCTAGAGAGGGATGGGATAGAGGCGTGGGAGTAGGGTTTAAATGATCCCGGACATCAGCTTTAAATACTAATGGCTCCAGCACTATAGGCAGGTTAGTGTCACAATGGAGATGGCAAATATCCAAAAGACAATATCATAAAAGCAAACAACTTACGTAATTTCTGCATTATCATTTCAAACTTGTTTTACAGGTAGCTCACAGCTAATTAGAGCAATAAAAGGCATGTAGAAGAATAGCCTATAGAATCTCTTCCCGCTCGCTTATGTTTCAAGTTCTGATGCAAGAACTGCCCCAGCACCAAACAACGCCCAGCAGTATATTTTATGTCTACCACATGAGCAAAAGCTTCAACAGGATATGGCTGCGTTGCAGTGCCATTAATTTCAATGGCACCCCAAACTCGCCTCTCGCCCACAGTGCGATTGCCCGCACTGGAAAGCACGGTACCACAATGCTGTGCGTTCCAGTGCAGTGCAATTGCAAAAGTTGTGCATGCAGTTTTATTCTGAAGTAAACTTTGTGCTTGTAACACTCATTTGCGTATTTTAAATGTAAATTAAGGATGGTATTTATTGAATTTTTTTATACAATTAAAATCTAGAGGAAAAAAAAAAAAAAATCGGCCAACTAATCAATTCTGAAAATAATCAATAGTTGCAGCCCTAGTATTCTTAACAACTTACTTTCACAAAGTTTACATTTATAGCCCATTTAAGCTATCTAAACTCAAAAGCTATAAACTGTCCAGCAAACGTGGCAGAAGGTTGAGACAAATCATTTACCACTGACCGGGGTGCTTACAATGTCAGCTTTTCTTCAGTTATGTAAAACTTTTATATCAAAAATATATATATATAAAAAAAAAAAAACCTTGTTTGCTCTAACTGCTTAGAAAGTTTGGCTAGCTGGAGTTTAGCTTAATTTTATTAGTGAAGTCCAACTAAATGTGTCCAAGGATGGCTCCTTTGCTCCTCCATAGAGGGGGGGCCATCCTAGAACAGGAAGCGTGTTAATGGCCAAATCACCAATCACCAGGTGAAAATAAAGGGGGGGGGGCCTTAAAAAAGGAAAATGAATGCAGTCACCACATTTAAGGATTGGTAAGCTTAAAGTGACATTAAACCCTCAGATTGTTTAACATAAACCAATACTGTAATGTGTGCCTAACTGTAATCCATGGTTGTTTCCCTTCTCTTTGCTGCTCTTCCTTTTAAATCCTTATCTCTTCTCATGCTGGGGGCGAACTTCCCTTTGCAGCCGAGTGCCTCTTCCTGTAGTGCTGGCTCAGGTTGTGAACCTACACACAGACACCATGTATCCTTTCCAGAGACAAGGCAGTCTGCTGCAAAACAGAAGTTCTGCCCAGCATGAGAAGGGATACGGATTTAAAAAGGAAGAGCAGGGAACAGAAAATTTTAAAAAACCTGGACCGAAGAGGCCAGCAAAAGAAATCCAGGTCCAAACTCCTAAGCACAAGGCAAATAACTGAGCTGGTTTTTGCAGATGGGAGGTTCGGCCCCTGGGCTGTCATTTTGTTTGCACCTAGCCTCCTACTCCTGCAGATGACACTATAACCCATAACTCAACATATAAACATCCAGCAGCCCTGTTTTTCTATTGACAAAAGAGAAACTTTTGTAACCATACATTACAGTTTGTAAACAAAAGTATCAACCCTCTGACCCAATATCTTATTACAACCAAATAACGCTGCAGGCACAGATGCAGCCCAGAAAAATGAGGCCCTTGCAGACACTGTCACTGCTCGAGAACTACAATCAAAATGCTAAACCAACTTTTTCATATTTGTTTTATTCCCAATGAATAAAGCCAATACGCAAATTACAGTACAATGGGCAAGTTATCAGAATATGAATAGGCAACATGATAATTAATGTTTCATTATTCTAGTGCAATTCCAGCCTGATTACCTTAATAGCAGCTTGAAACTGAACATTCCCCACAACTGACTAATACACAGTAAATACAAAAACAATATCTGTTGAGTATGCTGTGAGGAAGTACAAGTTTCAAGCAGGATATCAGTGCTGATAATTGAATACTTGTGTGCCTGTTAGAGATCCTAATTGTGATTTGGCTTTCACGATTATGCTCAGTCACTACTATTTCATATATACTTTCATTACATTTGTTTGTATCTTACTAAACTCATTTCAGGATAACTACATTATGTAAACAAAAAGTTTACATTTTGTAAAATGTATCTAAAGTTCAAGATGTTCTAGTTTTTAAGAACTCCTATGTCCTGAGAACAGGGGATATTTTCAACAACTTCTGGATTTTTTGATTTTTAAGTTTAGTGAATTTTAATCTAGTGCAGCCCTACTGGTGATCCTGCTGGTGACACACCTTCTGTCCTATGGTGACAATGCCTACTGTATCTATAGGAGGAGCATTGTCATCACCCTAGGGCAGGACTATAGAGCACCTGTCCCTCTTCTCCATAACACATGAAGACCATTAGTAGTCCACAGAATGCTCTAATGCTACAATCAACTAATCAATTATGAGAATTGTTGTCAATGATTCTCATTACCGATTAGTTGGTTTGGATCCCCTAGTTCTCTCCTCTAAGCTGGGAACTGGTGTTCTGGAAACACAAGTCGGGGGGGACCTACATATGAAAACAATGATTGCGCTACACGTGTTAGGTATCGCCGCGTGCTCCAGAGTGAGAGCAATAATTCTCGGGCCAATATTCATGACTAACTTTAAACTGATGACTAAATAGAAGTGTCATTTTCGGTTTCGGCCTAACAAATTCGGCTGTGGGAAGTGTGCGGTGCTATTTCAATGGCACCCCAAATGCGCCTCCCCGCACTGGAATGCGCAGTACCGCAATGCCGTGCGTTCCAGTGTGGTGTGATTGCAAAAAATTGTGCATGCAGTTTGATTCTGAAGTAAACTTTATGTAAAACTCCCTTTGTGTATTTTAAATAAAAGATGGTATTTAATTTTATTTATCCTATTAATCGAAAAAATAAAAAATAAAAAAATCGGCCAACTAATAGATTATGAAAATATTGAAATTCTAGCTAAAGTGCTGCAACTTACTTGTTTTTACGGTATAGAAGATTGTGGACAGTTCTAACAGATCATAACAGTCCATCTTGTTCTCCCTTCTCTGTCTAATAGCTTTTGTTGTTCTGCTTTGTTGCAAATATGGAAAAACAAAAATCTGTTGAGAATCTGTCAAAGTGACACTAAACTCAGGAGTTAAATCTTACCATCGCTCCAAGCTCACTCCCGTGATAGACTACAGTCTCATGTTTAGTTTTCTAATTTGTAATGAGTTTGCAGTCCATCACGGGAGCGAGTTTGGAGTGGTGGCTACTTTACAACACGCACAGGGACCATGGGGAACAAAAGTAGCCCCCCTCCAGAAGGAAGGACAGTTTCAGCATGAATTCAGAGATGATTTGAGGATCTACAGCCGAGTGATACACAAATAAGATACATTTCTGTTAATAGTTAAGGTACTTAACCCCTTCATGACTGAGGCCTTTTTTTCATTTTTTGCACCCATGTTATATTCCACATTTTAGGCCTGAAAATTACTTAAAACCCCCCAACATTATATATTTTCTGAATGCCAAGACCCTATAGAATAAAATGGTGGTAGTTGCAAATTTTTATGTTGCGCAACTCCTTATTAAACCCCAATATTTAGTGAAAAATGTAATTAAATTCCCCAAAACACAACAAAATACCCATTTTTTAATGAAATATAAAAGATAAGGTTACAACGAGTAAAACGATACCCAACATGACCAGGTTACAAATTGCGTGCATCCGTAAAATGGCGAAAAACCCCAGTACCCCAAAAAGTCCATAGAAGACGCTTTAAAAGCCCCCACAGGTCATCAATTTAGAGATGCCCTAGAATTATTGCTCTCACTCCAGCGTGCGCGGCGATACCCAACATGTGTAGCGCGTTCGCCGTTTTCAT